GACCCTTTTGCACCTTGTGAACATCAAAGTGAGTGTTTGTTTTGGTGAAGCTGTCAGTGTGAAGCATTTTCCAAACAGTGACGTCCAGTGAGGCTGCAGCTTTGGGCTTATGCTAACAATTTTGGGCTGATAGAGGAAAACTTTGTACCTGAGCAATCTTCTTTCATTAGACCATTCTTGTTCCTCTCCTCCCAGTCAATCACCTCTTCATAAATAAGTTCTGTGGAGAAACAGAACAGGTTAATGGCTTTCAGTGGTGACCACACTCATGCCTGCACGTTCAACACAAAAGCAACAGCAACAGTAGAACAGCAGTTGCCCGGTATGGTGCGCTGCTGGTTTGCTTCTCTAGAGGTCAGTGTATCCCACCTTTCCACTGCTCAATAGTGTGCTCTCTCTCTTCCAACTGCTTGTCAGAAATCTGTGGAGGAGGCTGTGAAACAAAAGGAAATGTCACACACAGCCGCAGCACTGATGAAGTTTACCACAAATTGAGGGGAACTGCTTGCTCACCGCGTCGGCCTCTGCCGGGTCGTACCACACGTGAATGTAGGGGTGATTAAGAGCTTCTTCTACAGATATGCGGCACTCGGGATCAATGACTAGCATTTTGGAAAGCAAGTCCCGTGCTTGACTTGCTGTTATGACAACACAGGAAGGGCAGGATTACTATGGAAACAGGCTTACGACATCATTAAATTTAAGTATTCTGTTTGACAATTGAATATTGTCCCTGATGGTGTTTGGCCAACATGTCTGTCAATGTCAAGATTTGTTCAGTTTTATTTAATGATGTGACCTCTTAAACGACAACATTACACCGCAGAGTTTTACTAAATCTATGCAGTACAGGAGTATCATTGGATACTAAAAATAACACTCTACATAAAGAGAGTATCAAAAATTCTTACTCTTCAATTTGTCATGTTCTGACTCAGAAGGGAAGGCCCAGTCTGGGAAAAGCTCGGCAAAGCTGACGCCAGGATACTGTGGCTTGTTCATCACATAGTTCCTCACAGTCTCCATCAGTCGGTTCATAAACTCTAGACTGGGTGTGCCCAGAATCTCAATCACCTTATTCCACTGGTCGATGTCTAGAAAACACACTTGTTATGGAAATCTCCAGTAAATTGATGGGCCTGTGCACATGTAAGCAAGTGAAAAGAACAGATGAAAAGGTACAGCATAGATCCGACATGTACACTAAATAATTTTGTATGAAAGCTAGCAAAGGTAAGCCTTAATTCACCAAAGCATAGGAGAGATGAAAATTTTGA